AATTCCTGCAATACTGGAGTCAGTTTTCCAAAATATATCCATACCTCTTTGGGAGTTTTATGAGCTGCACAAAGAAAAATCCACTGTTCAGTTGCTGTCATCTGAGTACATGTGTCAGGGTGACATTCACTCTGTTAAAGCAATTGTTTAGTTAAGAAAAAAACACAGCAGCAAAAGGAGCTGATCATTTCAAATTCCTTGCCCTGTTCATCCCCCAAAAGATTTATTTGCCATAAGCCTTTAAAATCTTACAAAACCTCCAACCACTGCTTAGCCCTGTGTTTATATATTTAGAAGAATACTCTGCAATCTACACAAAAGTCTCCTCCCTGTGTAAGTCTCAAGAAAATAATTACCTGAAGCTTGACAGCTAGTCCATTGAGCTCAAGGCAGAATTGTCTAAAAGAAATTGAACACAGCAGCATCAAAATCAGCTATTTGCTTCCCCACTGCAAGTATCTCATAAAAAATAGGTTAGACATTCTGATCTTCATACCAGATTTTTCTTTACTCAGCTAAACAATTTATATTTTAATTCTTCAGTGGCAGCAGAGGCTGAGTTTAATATATCATTTAGTGGAAGTGTTTTAAGATACCAACTTTGTTATGAAAGAAAGCGCTATTTCACAAATAAAGATTAAAAAAAATTAAAAGAAGTCAAGAAAATTAATTTTAGAGTGTGTTAAGCTCATGTTGCTGGATTGTTCCATCCTTCTAAGATGTACTTCAAATCAAAGTCCCACCTCAGCTCATTAACAGAGTGAGACCTCTGGAATACTGCTTTCACTGGAATGCATCTGACAGTGTATTCTTGAACTTTACATAATTCAGCCCTCCGTCCTACAAGAAAATCTAAATAAATTTTCCAAAACTCACAAGTCATAGTGATAAGTCACTTTTACGAATCTAAAATTTCTTGGGAGTTATATGAAAGGACAGGAGAAATTCTTAAAATATGACTTTGCAACTGTACGTAGATACTTTTTCCTTTCTTGAGGATTCCCTGTTGTCTATTGGAATTATTGCAGACCAGAGGAAAGAAAATGTGAGGCAAAAACCCAAGGTGTCTGAAGGTAGGAGGAGCTTAGAACTGTTCTTATCTCAGACTGTACTCAATAAAGTGAGAAGAGATGCTTTTAAGAAAAATAAAAAATAAAAATCAGGACAAAGGGATTACTACGTATGTACTAATAACGACACTACAAATGAAACATACTTTAAGGCACAACCTTCCAAGGCTGAATGTATTTATTGTACTAAAATTAAAAAAGAAAAAAAAAATAAAATGGACAAAAAGGTTTGTTTCCATACAGGCAGAAAAATTACTGTAATACTCAGGTACTCTTGCTGTCCCTGCCTATTTGCCTGCAAGTTTCAGAAAAAGCACTGTGAACATCCAGAAATCACATTACTCTTTAGTGGAGATGAAGAGCTGCCAATACTATGAGAAAGTGTTACAGAAATTCATGACTGTATCTTCATATTCAAGAAGTGAGGTACAAATATTTTCTTTAAAAAAACATTAAGATCAGAGCACTTTATAAATCTTTAGAAATAACATGGAATTAAAAAAATAAAACCAATATTTAACAGTGGAAAAATCAAGTTTCATTTAAGTTAGTTTTGATGTGTCACATTAAAGTAGATTCACTACCAGCATCAATGAGCAAAACTTAGAATCAAGACAGAATGCTGACAAAAGGTTGATTTTTACCTTAAGTGTTCATACTTCCATACACCTTCATCCTGGCCTTCAGGTGGTTCAAGGATCTTATCAATGTTGGAACAATCTGCCCTTATGTTTTGTTGAATATACTGGGGGGTGAGTAGAAATAAAACTAAATCTTGTTGTAATTACAGTAAGACAGTATACTTAGGACATTGCATCTTGGAGGGGTTTCATTTTTACTTAAATGATTGACAGACTAAAGAGTTCAAAAGTAGATGGGCAGGGTAAGGAAATTGGTATTAAAAATGCCAGATCTGAAAAATGCCTTTCTTCAATTAAAACAGGTAAAAGAATGAGAAACCCCCACCACTTTCTTAAATCCGATTTGTTTAAACCAGATATGGGAATTGATGTTGTTTCTACAAACAAAATTAACTATTAATTTGTTCATATACATAGGTGCTTAGGAAATTCACTGCTGCACAGCAGCACCCTAAGCAGATAAATATCAAGCCCTGTTCCATTTTATATACCAGAACACAAAACCTGGGAAACTGCACTCATTAACAACGTTTCATGTAAGTAAGAATACCTGCTGGACAGCTAATGTACTATCCATTTCTTCAAAGGATTCATCAGGCCAGTTGTAGAAATCCTGTTTTGAAAAAAAGAAACTTTAATGCAATGTAACAAAACCAAAGGGGGAGGAAGAAAGGCGCACAGCCTACAATAAGCCTGAGCATGCAGGAAAATAGATGGAGTTGATACAATTCCAGGAAGCTGCATCTGAACAGAAGAAGCACAGAGTCCTGGCAGGAAGAGGGTGAGATGGGGTTTACACTCCCAGCACTGCAATAGCAGCCATACCTTGAAATGAAAAGCTCCGCATGACTTGGCACGCGAACACACCCTGCTGTAACACCCAGAGCCCGCATTTTTTACATTAAATACAGCATGCAGCACCCACTGCAGGTGTTAGACCAGGTAGCAGTGGGGAAGAAGAGGTCTGTAGAGAGCTGCAGCATACACTGGTTATGAAACTAATACTCCCAGTGGTGACACAGCAAGAAAAACATCTCTGACTTGAGATCACGCAACACTGTGCTGGCCAACCTGGTACCACATCCCCACCTTACCCCTGGTAAGGTCATTATGCCTTAATTAATTCATCTGGATGCTTACCAACCTTGTTAATGATAAAGCCTTCCTGAAGTTTCACCTCAGATCCAGCTGCACCTGTGTTCTGCAGCAATCCACATGTGCTGCACTCACGATCATCCCAACCATAGGCATTTTCTTACTGTGCATTTTTCACATCTAAAATTTGGTGCTACTCCCTCATATCATGCAAAGATGCTGCACATCAGCTTGCTGATCCCAGTAGGTGCAGTGATTCAATGAAAATATCCCAACTGCAATGCTCAGCAATCTATTCCTGAGAGAGTAAGTCAGCTCTGGAAAAAATACCTCAAGTGCATATCCACTGTTGAAATATTATTACCCAATTGTATTTGCAAACTGAATAGCTATACCGGTGCCATCCAAAATAAAACATTAAATACAGCCACACACAATAGAAAAACATCTCTATGGAGAGAAATCACCATAATTATAAACAAAACTCTTCAATCTACGTGGACTTCATAATATTTGACCAAACCCAGGTCTATGTCCAGCTGTTTTTCAGAATACTCCATATTTATCAAAGGCACACAACATTCCATCTCCTTCACATATTAAACATGCATAGAATGACCTGATTTACAGGATTGTGTAATAATTTTACCACTATGCAATGACAAAGAACAGGAGGAGACACGTGTCATACACTGCTCCTTTCCCACCATAAGTTCTCCTCACAAAAGCAGAGGGGAAAGTCTCACATAAAGGTCTGACAGATCACCTCTCTGAAATAATCTAAAAAAATGCCGTTTCCGTGATTGAAGCACGCCTTTTCCAGCTGACCGTGGAACTCCAGAAACAAATTAATTCAATTTTGATTAAGAGAAGCGATGTGACAGCAGCATTTTCGTGCTTGCAGTTACGTAAGGGAAAGATGACTTCCCTCTTGGATGGGCAGGCAGGTGCGGCCGCCCGGAAGGTGCCGAGCTCCCACCCGGAGCCATGTGCGGGGCCATGAGCTCGCTCCCGGAACGCGCTATCGGTGTTTCCACAGCAGCAGCAACGCCTGACAGTACCGGGGAGCCGCCCTGCCTGCACCAACCTGCGCAGCGCTCATGCCCGGCTGTCACAGGTGTTCTCGGGCCCGGCCGAGGCCCCGCGCTGCGGGACGCGGCCCCTCCCTCGGCCAAGCGGGTCCGACGCGAGCGCCGCTCCCAACCCGCAGCCGGGAAGCCCCGGCGGCGCTCGGCGCTCCCCCCGCCGCGGGGCCGCTGCCGCAGCGGCCTTTCCGCCGATCCCGCGGGGAAGGAGCCGCCGCCGTCCCCGGCCCGCTCTCCCGCGGCCACCGGGTCTCGCCCGCTGCCCCGCGCCCGGCCGCGGGAACAAAGCGATCCCCGCAGCGGGGCCGCCGCCGCCGCCCGCCCCAGCCCCGGTAGGCCCGGCGCGGCCCTCGGCGCGGCCCTCGGCGCCGCCAATGAGGTTGCTGGGCCCCGGCGGCGGCGCTGCCCGTACCCGCTCGCCCGGAGGCCGCGGGAGGAGCGGCGGCAGTGGCGGCGACGGCGGCGACTCACCTGGGCCTTGGTGCCCGGGCGGTTCCGCCGGAGCACGGCCGTGCCCTCCGCCATGACCATAGCGACCGCGGCGCCCGGATGTGCCGCGGGGCCGCGCGGGGCGGGGCGGGGCGGGAACAGCCGCGGGGCGGAGGCCGGCCTGCGGAGGGAGGGGCGGAGCGCCCAGAACAGCCGGCGCGCGAGGCGGGGACGGGAACAGGTTCTCGCGAGAGAAGGCGGGAGGCGGCGCGCGGGGGCGACCGTGAGGGAAGGAGGCGGCGAGGCCTCCCCATTCCTTGCCCCGCTCCAATTTCCTTCCCATTTCCTGCCCCTTCCCGCCTGCCTCAGCCCGGCCGCAGGGTAGCGCCTACGAGCCGTTCTCCGAGCGGCGCTGGAGGCCACGGGCTCTTCCCTGCGGGGCGGTGCCCTGTGGTCACTTGCGGGTCCCTCTAGCGTAGCAGAGCTTTGCGTTCCTGAGGGACAGCGCTGTCACTCCCCACACGCAGAGCCGGGAGTGGCGAGTCCGGGGGCGGCCGCTCGCTGCTGCGCGGCGGGGCCGGTGTCGCAGTGAGTGACCCGGTTTGTGAGGCGAAGCCTCGCACGGGGATTGAGGGCCTGAGTGGTTGTTGAGGAAATCCATCCTTCGCATTTCATCCTGTTTCATCAGCATCCCCCCGCCATCCCCTGGCTGTGCGTGCGCTCACGCAAGGTTAGTCCTCGCTAACCTGTCTCTGTACAACCGAGTCCCTGATGTTCTGTACTGCACAAACCGTAACAGTATGGATTTTAAAAAACATCAGTTTTGTATTCAAGATTTATAGTTAACTCTCAAAATAATGAGTAAAGAACCCACCCCAGCAACGGTTCTTTGCAGCAAAATAATTTAAAAGTAGGGAGGAAGCCTGTCTCCAAAGGCAGGACTGAGACACCTGTGAGCTTGGTGTGCAGAGGGCACAAACTGCTGGGCTAATGGCAAACAGAGTTAGCTTAGGTTTCAAAATTTACTGTGTGGGGTGTTGACTCTATTTGGGAAGAAAACAGAAAAAAGACACTGTTACCTCATAGCTGGCTGATAAATACATCTCCCTTACAAGCAAGTAAACCTTTGGGAAGACCAAAGTGACTCATACCATTTCTGTAGGATAAGTGAGAAGAAAACTATTTGAAAGCTGTTCCATTTCTCATGACAGAAGTGAGTACAGAATAAGGAGGTGTGAATTGCTTCTGTCTCTGTGCAAGAACGATGAAGCAGCGAGGTACCAATGAGACACCTCCCTCATACCAACAAGGAATAAATGCTTCCAGTTGTGTGGTGTTTCCTGCAAAATGGACAAGGCTGCTACCTGGTGCTGTCCCGACTCCCAGCACATTTCAGGGTGAATACTATTTTGCTGTAAATAACACGTTAAAACCCCTTCCTTCTACGCAGTGAAAGTTACAGTTTGTGAAACATTTCTAGATCTGAAACACTGAAAAATCCCTAATTAGGCTTTCCCGCCAGAAAGAGCAGTGCCCTTTGAAACCTGACTTAGCTTGGGCAAGGCCGTGAGCAGGAGGACCCTGCCTTGCTCGGGGGGCCGGGTTAGAGGGAGCAGAAATGGGTGACGGGGTCAGGCCTGCCCCAGCTAACCCGCAGTTTCCACAGCCGCCAGAGCAGCTCCTCTCACGTTACACTGTAACACGGAGCTCGGCATTCCTGGCTTCGGCCACCTGAGTTCGGTTTGCAGTAGTTACTTTTTTACTCCTGGCCAGCATTCCTGCCCCAGGGATGTCAGCTCTTCGGGTCACATGGCGAAACCCAGCTTGTGTAAGAAACCATCAGAAGGTCTAAAATGATGTGGGAAATTGGTGCGTTGGGATGAGGAGTAGAAATGTCCTATTACCTCTTTAGACCAGCTGTATTCCAACATTATTTTTTTTTTAATGAGGTTGATATTATTATTAGCTAGTTTCAAAACACTAGTTGTTCTAATTGCTTGGGTCCTTCAAAATTCAGCAGCTTGTTTGCGATATTTTTGTTTGTTTTTGCTGGGGTTTTTGTTGTGTTTTTTTTTTCTTTTTCTATCACCATATTCAAGGTTTAACCTTAAAGCACTGAAAAATTGTGGACATGACATTTCCATTTGTCCCTGACTTTCATTTCATGGCCATCTTGCTTTTAACATGGAAACATATCTGACTTTGAGGAAATACCTCTCAGAGAAATAAATGTCTATTAGTTCTATCTGAAGATGGTTCATGCATGCACTTGCAGAAAAAAGGAGAGAAATCTGCCTCTTTTATTAAGATCTTGAATTCTGTGGGGTATCTTGTGTTGCCCCTTGGTAATTGACCCTGTATTCCTGGAAGATGCTTATTTTTACTTCATTAAATTTCAAGCTGTTTTTGAACAAAATCTGAACAACAGTAATTTTAGTTTTTGGGTTTCAGCTGGTCTTCACTATTTTATGGCCTTCAGTCATTGAATATTTGGCCAAAATTTTATCAACCATTCATGTGCTGTTAGAGACCTGGCTGTCCTTTCTTCTTTATTCACATATAAATGTTCCATCCTTTTCTTACAGTGGCAGGATAACATAACCAGGGTGAGAAAAGCTCTCTGAAAACACTACAGCTGCTGATAATGGAAACTATTCTGATGTGTTAAGAAAAGAAAGTTGCAAAAGCTGGAGTCCACCTGGTCTCCTTGTGATTCACACAGGCTGAAGAAAGACTGAAGTATGCAACATCTACACCAAAACTGAAGTTTTGAACCCATCTAGAAAACAGTGGAAAGAAGCCTAATTTCCTACGGGAGGGGCACAGCAAAGAAAGAGGGTTTGTGATTGTCTGTCCTTCCCTGAAGAACCCGAGGGATACGGGATTTGGCACACAGTCAGGGCCTGAGAGGCAGTAACAGCAGATGGATCACCTCGGATGTGTGGCAGTTGCCTTGTCCTTGTTTGCAGTGAGAGCCTTGTGGTGCAAGGATAGAATGTTCCTGTCAATCCAGCAGATGTTCCAGCGTGTCCTCCATTTGATTAGGCCTAGGAACGCTATTTTCCCCCCACATCCATAAATTACTTATTCCCATGAAGCGTGACTTCTGTTTTTTATCACTTATGTAAACCGTAGTAGATACAGCCATGATAAATATTTTAATAGGCATTGTACTAAGCTGCTGAAAACGTGCAGGGCTGAAAGTGTGGGCTGAATGTGGAGCTGAGGGCAGCCAGGTTGTGTGGTGTGGGCTCAGAGTGATCCTATGCAGTCCATGTCTTTTGGAGACATTATGGAGAGAAATATTGAAATTTTAGGCCTAAACATTTTTCTGTTGGCAGTTAATTTCTACTGCATTTTGAGATGGGGTATAGTGTCTCTGAGCAGTTTGTAAATATTTGAAATACCTTCCCCTCTTTGGTATGTGACTGCAGCAGACTGCCTGCCTTATCCTGGGAGATAAAGGCATGCTGGCTGCAGTGGAAGATAATGCTTCCCAGGGAATTTGTTTCATTGCACAATCAATTGTCCTGCAAGGTCCTTGGGGCGTGATTATCTTAAGTTCCAGCTTGAAAGTGCAGTGCTGTAACTACTAAAGTAAAACTGCAATAGAGCAGATTTCAAGAAGTAGGCCTTTTATACTAAAAAGTGCATTTTTATTACTTTACCATCTTCCCTGTCTGTCCATGGTTCAGTACAAATTTAACCCCCAGAGAAATGTCTGGTTTGCCTTCAGCTCCAGAGCAAGCAGAGGGAACCAGCCAAGAGCAACCATCCCACTGCCAAGGGGAGCAAAAGACACTGAAGCCAAGCCTGGAAAATGCAGCTCCTGCTGGAATAGCTGGGTGATCAACAGCATCCAGGGAAAAACGCAGCTCCAGCTCACCTCTGTCCCTGATGGGAGGGACTTTCTGTTGGCAGAAAATAATTGTCCTTCAAACTGTCAGAGCTCAAGTCCCACACTGCAGCAGCTGAATGCAGTCCTGAAAAATATTTTGTTACAGTTTACTGTTACCTCTGGACTAAGGGTTATAATGTATCTGGCAGTGCTGAGTTTTTATCAGTATGAATGGGAGGGGAAAGAAGGGCAGTTTAATTCCAGCCACTGAAGTCTCAGCAGTAGTAAGTCCCGTACGGACTGATTTCACTACCACTACCCCAAAAGCACTTTATGGAACTGTTTGTTCTTAGGCTGCATTAGACGCCTCTGTGCACCCCAGCTTTGAAAGCCTCCTCAGGAGCGGTGCAGATCTGGATGCTTCTGCACGTACAACCCCAAATTCTTTTTGAGGTGAGAGAAGGTGGCCAGAAATATGCAAATTTTATTGCTTCAGCATCACCTAAGTCAATGTCTCACTATTTAAGAATGGTGTGTTAAGGATAAATGAAATACAATTTATCAAAGGGAATTATATGCTTAAGGGAAAGCCCAAGATCTGGGTGTGATAGTGTAGTAATCAGTAAAGAAACTTCATTTAAGATCAACATCAGCCCCCCCGATTAACTGCTGAGGGGAAGTTTTTTTATTTTCTATTGGCAAAATTCAGTGAGCAATAAGGGAGAACAACCATTAATTCTTATCTGCTTCATCTGGGAACTGGATGATTTTGTTCCAGCACAGACACAACTAATATCAAGCTTCTTCCAACTGCTGGGGGACAGGCTGTTTGTGGCAGGGTGGTTTGTGTGCATTAACCTTCCAGTGTTTCAGGGTCTTCAGACAGAAGTTAAAAGAACCTGTGCTATCTCAGGAGTCCAATGTGCAAGGGAGCTGGATAAAAGTCCTCAGCAAGACTGCACCTGTCTGGTAACCATTTTAAGCTCATTTCATACAAACTTGGGGACAATAACATATTACTACCATTGAATGTTTCAGCAAGCACACAAGTGAGACTCAGTTTCACTGAGCAACAGCAGAAACTGAGACAGAAGCAGAATAGCTTTTTAACTTTATTGTAAAGACCTTTACAATCTCAATACAGAGATAAGGATATAAAGTGATGTTGTTTGGAATAATTAAGGCTGGTTGGTGGTCATCCAAATTTCACTGTTCAATGGAACTCAAGCAAGAGCAACTGATTTCTGACTGTACATAGTTTTATTTGTGTTCCATCGTTACACTGAGATCACAAGTTATTTCAAAGACTCGATGCCTGTTTATTATAAAATAAAGGACATTATTTACATGATGAAAGAAAAAATTTCAGCATTTTACTGGAATGGATGACTGATACTGCAACAGGTTTAGTCCACGTATTTCCCAAGAATGTCACCGTCTCTAAACAAGTAGTAGTCCTGCAAAGAAAAGGAACATTAGCTTCTGCCATGTAAGTCTTTTTTCTTGTTTTGCAAATACTGTCTTGTTCTGAGTAAGCATTACTGCAGTCATTAAGCACAAAATCAAAAGTGAGCTAACCAAGAAATCAACACGTAGAGCTGGTCTTGAAAAAACTATTTTTCTTCCCAAGATACTCTTTGGAGAGCTATCAAGTTACTACTTCTAGCATTGGTAAGTGCAAGAACTGTTAGAAAACAATTCTGCAGGCTTTCCCTGCCAAAAGCAAGGATGGCCCCAGGAATTTCTAAGCCTTTTTGGATTCCCTCTAATATGTGCTTGACATATGGAACATCTTGCCCACCCAGCAAAGGTCAGGTCAGAGGTTCCCGTGGTTACTTCCTTCTGTGGAGGAGCAGAAGTAGCAATAGTACAGCTACCAGAAGGTGGCTGGATCCAGCTGCTCCCTTTCTTGAATGGTGCCAACACCATGAAGCAACCACAGTATTTACCACTGGCGTTTCAGGAACCATTCTGATTTGTACTCACAAAGTTGGGAAACCTACCTTATCTTCTAGTACGATCTTAGTACCACCATATTCTGGGAGCAAAACCTTTTCACCAACTTTTACACTCACTGGCTGAATCTCACCATTCTGAAAAAAGAAAAAAAGTCCTTACTTTTCCATTATATAAACAGATGTAATAGAATTCCTCCTAACAACAACTATCCATCCATGTACAGAAATACTCAGGAAATCACAACTGTGCATTTAGTTTTGATTGTAAATATAAGTATGAGGTCTTCACTTGACGCACTGAACAGGACTTCATTTAAAGAACATGAAACCTTCTTTTAAAATCAAGGGACAAAGTCCATTTCCATATTCTATAGCCAAGGATAATTTGTTGAAGTGCCAGTTAAAAAAGCACCTTCCGATTTCTGTAACTTTGATCAACTCATCACTCTTGCCATCAAATCACTTGTGTAGAAACACCTGGTAAAACTTAATGAATTTTTGTATTATAAATAAAACATTAACACATTAGCCAAATATTATCACCCTTTCACAACATGCACCTTTAAAAATCAGATCCTGACATAAACCAGCCTGGGACGTATAGAGAGACTCATGGTAAAGAAAGGCCAAGGCAAGGTGCCCAAGTTGAAATTTAACCTGTTTTCAGTGTTGTGACTGATTGAACCCTGCTCTGGTGGGGAACCAGCCCTTCTGATGTGGAAGCCCCCAGGCACCAGCATTTTTGTGAACTGTCTTCTTTTACTTCCATACACATATCCAATGTGCAAAATTAACAAGCAGTTACGCAACACTTCTTTTTTAGTCCAATAAGCCTAATCCTCCTGGACAATGATAATTTGCACAGCACAAGACAGCCAATACCACATTCTGGGGTTCCACCCTGCTCACAAGTCACAGACATTTGGGCATGTAACAATCTTAACAAAGAAGTCTGTTGGTCCCTCAAGGCTTTGGCTGAGAAGACAAGAAACAAGGTATCACACAAAACACTGTCTATATTATTTTAAAATAAACAAACAACAACCAACACTTCCCAAAAAAAAACCTTCACCATTGAACAAGCAAACAAACAGCAAACAAAAGAAACCCCACTCCATTTCACAAAAGATGAAAGGAATGCTGGAATTCATTTCAGGACAACTTGAGATTTTTACCTGCTTTTTGAATCCCCATTTGCAATTTCAGCCATCACAGTCATCCATTTTTGTGAGCTATTGCCACTTTTGCACTACAACCATCCCACTCTAATGAAAATATCCCAACTACCACCACACCATTACTGGGTCTACCCAAGTGAAAAGTTTCAGGGTAATTACCTTTCCTCTGGCTCCAGATCCAACTGCTACTACTGTTGCTTGCAGTACCTTCCCTTGGGACTTTTCTGGTATCATGATTCCTCCTTTGGTTACTGTCTCAGCCGCACATCGCTCAACCAGGACACGATCAAAGAGGGGAAGGAATTTCCTAAATGCTTTTCCTGCCTGTGGAAGTAATTGTACATTGTAACAAGAGAGCCATTACAACAAAACTGCAATTAAAAGGAGTTTTAAAAATCCTGACACACAAGGATTTCTCTTTTGAGAGAGATGAATAGCATAAGACAACTGCTAAACACTTATTTAATAGCAGCAAATACCACCTCTGATTGCATCAGAAACTCCTGAAGGCACAGGCAGATGCTGGGCAATAAACCACCCACAGATAGAGCAGACTCCTCTGTCTGGAAAGGCCTCTAGGCTTTTTTAACACCAAGCCCTTGGTTGCTATAGCTTGGTCAGCATAATTATTGATTATATGAACTGTATTTCTCCAGTTCACCCTGGGACAGCTGCATTTGTACTTGTGAAGAGGTTTACATTAAAGAAGCACAAATCCATTGTCAGTCTTTCTCAGGTGCTTTCAAGCATTACCCTTTCACAAAAAAAATTGCTGAGAATCTGCAGCCTGAGCCACAGTGCTGTTACTTATATCAACTTCCACAAATAGATTCAGAAAAGATTTAAAGTTTAGGTCAAGCCTCTAAAAATAAGAAAGTAGGCACCCCTCTAGTTCAGCTGCTTTGGTATCTGCTTCTGCTTAAGCAGAGTCAAGGTGAGGGATTTTGTTAAATTGTTGGGTTTTTCCCTCACATTTGGTTTTGTTTTTTTTTTTTTTTGCAGCTATTTACTGCTGTCTGTCTGCATTTCAGAACCAGCAGTCTAATCCCCATGGCCAGACAAATGCAAGCATGTGCATGTATCCCAACACGCAGGGGTCAGGAAGCAGGAACTTGCTTTGATTTAGAAGCAAAGATATGGCAACTTGCCAAGTCACATGGAGATAGTGCTCCACTGGACAGGTACACAGAGCCCACACTCAGAGAAAGAGCTAGAAGGGCCTGGCATCCGTGTGCCCTTTGCTGGCACTCATTGATATCCGCACACACTGGAGAAGTGGCAGAATGCAAAGTCACAAGCAGAGCACGAACAAAAGGCAGCACATGGAAGATGCTGTGTTCAACTGCTGTCAGCAGCACAGAGATGAGAGATACTCAAGGGAAAAGGCTGCCAGTTGCGTACATTTTCATCCTGTGAAGATAATACCGCTTACTCCCTTTTTTAAGAGCTATTCTACGTTTATTAGAAAAAAAGCTGCCAAACTTATGATCATGAACATTTTACACTATTTACATTATCATAAAAATCAAGCATCACTGCAAGAACAAGGGCAACTCAATCAAACTCTCCTTCTTCTCTATAAAAAAATTTACAAAACTTATAGAAGGAGCACTCCAGAACGTGGCACAGCTTTCTTTTCTACCTCCGCAGATACCCGCCGTGGCCTGTGCGGCCCTGCCCTGCAGCGCTGCTGCCACGGCGCTGCTCCCGTTGCTGCGGCGGGGAGGAACTCTGAGCTCGAGTGTCTGGGCAGCCAAAAGCGGCAGCCCCTGCAAAACCTCCCGCCACGTCCCGGCCCGCAGCCCCCGCGCCTGCCGGGGGAGTCGCTTCTGCCCCACGGACTGCGTGACCTTGCGGTGCTGCCAGCCCCCCGTCTCCGCCTTCCCCCGTCTCTCCCGGGACCCAGCGCTGCCCGCGGGCACGGCAGGGACGGAGCACGCGCCTGCTCGGGGACCCGCCCGTGGGGAGGAGTAGGGGCGCCGCCAGGCCCTGCGGCGTGTCCGTCCCCGCGGCGCCGGACTCGCTGGGCGGGGCGGCCCAGGCCCGGGCCCGCGGGAGCGACGGGGAGAAGGCGCGGCGGCGGCCCCGGCACTCACCATGATGCTCCCGCGCCGCCCGCACCGAGTGACCGCGCCGCCGCCAGCACACACGTGAGGAAGGTCACGGCGTGCGCATGCGCGACCGGCGCCCCGCCCCGGGGCGGAGCGAAACCGACCCCTTCCCCCTCCTTGGCCCCGGCCCCAGGGTCGTTGGCGCCCCCGTTTTTATCCGACCGCTGCGGCCCCAGCCCGGGCCCGGGAGCGCCTGTGCCCTGGCGGCACCGCAGACCCGCCGCACAGCGGCCGCGGCGCCCCGGGCCGGGTCCCGCACGGAAGTGAGGTCAGCTTACCCCTGACCCGCGGCGAGCATGAGCGTTCCAGAAGGTTCTGGAATCGGCGGGCCCCGGAATATGAATAGTTCATGCTGCTGCCCTCTGCGCATGCGCCGTTCCTGCCCGCGGCCCAGCGCGGCAGGCGGGCTGTGGGCGGGCGCGGACGCCATGCTGGTTCCGGGGCCGGGCGGCCGGAGCCGCACATGGGCCGGCGGCGGCGCGGGGGCGGGGCCGAGGCGGTGAGTGCCGAGCACCGCCCGCCGCCGCCGCGCCAGACGTGCCCCGCGAGTCCGCAGAGCCGCGGTGCTGCTCCCGCGCTGCCGCAGGTGAGCGGGAACGCGGCCGCGGCGCCGGATCCGCGCCGCTCTGCCTGGCCTGGGGAGGGCACGGCCGCCCTAGTCCTGTGGCCGCGGTTAGCGCGGGGCCGCTCGCCGGGAGCGGCTGGGCCCGAGCGGCGGGAGCGGGGGGCGGCCGTGATGGGGGCGTTGCGCCCGGGTGGCGGGAGCGGGGCCCGCACCTTCCTGCGGGGTGGTGGCGGCGCGGCGGGGCGGGCGGGCGGCGGCGGGGGGCGGGCGGTGCTGACCTTGCTGCGCGTGTCCTGCTGCAGCGGCCATGTGGCCGCGGGGCCCTGCCCGCCGTGTGGGCTGCGGCGGGCCCGGGGTGGCGGCCGCGGCCTTGTCTCTTCTCTCCGCCCTTGATGGCGTAGGGGGGGTTTGGGAGCCTTACCGGACTCCCCTCGTCACGGCCCCGCTGCTGCAGGCGCGGGCGGGCGCGGCCCCCGCGCTGAGCACATGGAGCCGCAGGCGCTCCGCGGTGCCCTCGCCGTGCCCTGCCCCGCTCCGGGGCACGCTCAGCGGGAGGAGCTCGGAGGTGCTGGAGGCCGCGCAGGGAGGAGCTGCTGCCGCGCGGGTCTCGGCGTGAGGATCGGAGATAGCCGGCCCCGGTACTTGGAGTTGCTTGTTTGTCTTGATTTCAGCTAGTCGCAAAATTAAAGATTCATCGTGCCTGCTTTACTTCCTGAATCTGTCCCCCTTCTTTTCCTGTAGAAGTAGCTAGTTGTGCAAAGCCATAATGCTTTTGTTTTTCTCTACATTTCTGTTAATATTTTAGACATGCTCCGTTTATCTACAGTACTCCGTCAGATAAGACCAGTGTCCAGAGCCCTCGCCCCCCATCTAACACGAGCCTATGCAAAAGATGTGAAGTTCGGAGCAGACGCGAGAGCTCTGATGCTACAAGGAGTAGATCTCTTAGCAGATGCTGTAGCTGTCACCATGGGGCCAAAGGTAATGAAAGATTTGGCCTTTATGTTAGCACAGACCTGGCTGAAAATACTGTAACAGAGAACGGTCGTTGGGTTTCTCTCGGTGAAGCTGCACGGTTGTATTTGCAGAACTGCAACACGAAGGGGTAGGGGCTTGGACAGGCTCCTGCAAGCAGCTGCGGTCTGATGTTTGCCACCAAAAGTCGGATAGTGCATGTGCTTTTCGTAGTAACAAAGTAAAATTACTGGGATTCCTGTGAAAGGTACAATATGTTCGTCAAAACATTTTGAAGGTTAAGGGGATGTGCATGATGTGTTACCAGCTCAGTTGATAACCTGTAACAGTGCAGTAGATAATGTAACTGTGTGTGTCATGGCGGGGTAGGTTAATTAGCATGTGGGTGGCCTGGTTGGGTTTTTTTTTTTTTTGGTTTTTTTTTAATGGTGTTTGTTTGGTTTGTTAATTTTTTTTACAAGTTACAATTTTGTATTAGTTTACCATTTAATAGTAACAAGCTTTAAAAACTGTCCAAATTATAATGTTGAGTTTTCAATTGGCTGGTGAACGTTACCAGCCTAAGTGAAATTTCATGGTGGTGGCATTCATTTGTGTTACCCTATATTCTGTCCTGTAAGGGAGATTTGGGTCTCTGGGAAAACCAGCTATGATATTCTGCCTAGTCATGCAATGTGCTTGAAATGAGATTCCTCTTTTTTGAGGAAGAGACACTGATTTTCTTGGGGCTCATGTGAATATCCGTTCCCTGTAATAGCATGTGCATGATAGTTCTTCTAAGGGCTGCTTGGCCTCTGTAACATTATTTAATACAGTTCCTGCACATTTTTAGTGTTCCATCAGCTTTATTCAAAGACAAAAATGCCATAAAGCTGGGCAGATGAAGATTAAGGAACGATTCTGTCAGGAAGCTTTGGCTACTTCCATAAAGGAACAAAGTTTAAGTGTAGTTGGTTAATTTAACTCCTGTGTTTTTTTTGATCAGGCTACTTTGTGAATGCCGAAGCATAGTTCTAATCCACTGGCTAAAGGGCAGTTGCTGATGCAACTTCATGTAACCTTAGGGGATTTTTGTTTGTTCTGCTGTTCTCCATGTATTTGTAAAAATGGATTGGTTGTACTGCAGTGCCTGATTCTGTTTCTGGTATTTTTAAGAAACATCACTCTGGTAAGGAAACTTCATTTGGCACTGTTCTACATTTTAAGGAACCTAGTTTGCAGTCTCACAGAATCTTTTGGTACTGCTCCAGCATATTGAACAGAAACGATTTGTGTGGGAGCTCAGATTCTCAATATGCAGGACCATTCTAAACACCTGTGCAGATACTGGTGGTGTTTGTTCCCTTATTCAGGAACACAGACAGGTGTTTTTGCTGAGAGCAAGCCTTTTCATGTGATTTGTTATCTGTAGGTTTTCTCGTGCTCCTCTTCTCAGAGCTGCAAACCAAACATTTGGAATAAGATCTTATCAAAATACAAAAAAAATGAAGCAAATTGGGAAATGTTACATGAAAAACGTACTGGTAGCATGGTCCTCCAGAGAGGAGTTTTCTTATTTTTTAATCACTTCTATATTTAGAAACGTAGGTCAAATAAAATTAATTTGGGGAGTGTGTTATTTTGGCATTACTGCTCCATAGCACAGAGGTAAGTTTCTGTAAGCTCTTCCCCAGGTTCAGGCTGAGTAACTGAAGCAGAACCTTTCCTTGTAGCTGCTGGGGTGGTTGTGCTTCAGGAGCAGCGTGGCCTCATGCCTGGCAGGCAGCCAGAGCTGGTTCAGTCACTGAGGCAGATGTGTGGGCTCGGAGCAGGGGAGGGGCACAGGGCACCACAGCGCTGGGAGCTGCACGGGAATCCTCACCTGGCTCATGATCCCCACCCTGGGCTGGGAGAGCTCTGGCAGGAGGCAGCAGGGTCAGCTCCCAGCAGCACCTGACAGACCAGGTCAGGGGGCTTGTGCAGCTCTGCCTGGGAGGCCGTGCTGAGCTGGGGCAGTTGCTCTCCCCTCTTGCAGCAGCTCCAGCTGGCAGGGTAGTAGAGGAGTTTCAGGGCAGTAGTAGACCAGAGGTGGCTCCTTTTGTTTCTGCTACCTCCAGCTCAAACTGGAACATGATTGCTTGTTCACAGATGAATTCAGTAGCCAATACCTGCTCCAAACAATGTCCTTGTGCAGGTGCTTTTGCCATGTGGTCCCTGTATAGTTCAGTTTCCCATGTTAGCTGTGTCTGTTGGATAGAATAGTCCAGCTTTTCAGTTGGATCCAAGTGCCAACTAAGATGAGAAAAGCTTGGTAACTTGCAGTGTTTGAGAAATTATTGTAACACATGCACACAAATGTGATGTACTCTCAGTTCTCTTTGCTAATCACTAATGAGGTTTGCAAGTCTGCTTTTTTTCCTTCCAGCACATGCAACGAATTGAGCTTTGTATTACTTGTTTTTCATTCATAAAGAATGTTTATTGTGATCCAATAGAAATTTTGGAAATTCAGCTCTTTGAGTTTTTTCTGTAAGGTAATCTTACTTAATTGCAGACTAGTATTTAGCATTATGGCTGAAGAATGGAGCCTCATTCTATAAAAGCATAAAGCCTTTGAGCCATTTTTCTGGTTTTGGAGAATGCCCTGTGTAAGGTGTTCAGCTGTGGCTGTTCAAAATTTTCAGTTGAGCTCTTGAGAGTAACATGCTGTGGGTTGGCTTGGATTTAAAATTTGTTGTTTGTCCCTCTAGGGTAGAACAGTTATAATTGAACAAAGCTGGGGAAGTCCCAAAGTGACAAAAGATGGTGTGACAGTAGCAAAGGCAATTGACTTGAAAGACAAATACAAAAACATTGGAGCCAAGTTAGTTCAAGATGTTGCCAACAATACCAATGAAGAAGCAGGAGATGGTACCACTACTGCAACAGTCCTCGCACGTGCTATTGCCAAGGAAGGCTTTGAGAAGATCAGCAAAGGAGCCAATCCAGTAGAAATCAGGAGGGGTAACTTTTCTGTTGTTTTCAATATTTGATCTGTCTTTTATTTTGCTTACCCTAAATTTGACTCATTTTCTGTTTGAACAGCCACTATAAAGGGTTATATGAAGCGATGTTTAGAGAATACAATTGTTTTTCTTATACTGTGGACTCTGGACAACTGTTAGCTATTCTAATCATTGTACTATTCTACATGCAGTCAACTTATTTTCTGTGTTGGAAATGAACTCTAGTTACAGCCATTTCTGCATTTAATTAATACAATAGCCATATAAACAAATCTGTGGCAAATTTAGATTGTGAGAGTATTTCGCTCCAATTTCAAAACATCTATCACTACATATAAAAATGACAGTATGGAACAAGAACTATTTGGTTTTGAACACGCAAACAATCCATTTTTGCAGTGTGGACTTCTGTTTGAAAGGAAACCTTTTTGTTGTGGTGAGTGCTTGGTTTGTGTTTTCTGTGCTCTCTGTCTTGTTTTGTTCACTCACAAGTGCTCTGTTCATCTTCAGGGGTGATGCTGGCAGTGGATGCCATCACAGCTGAACTGAAGAAACTGTCAAAACCTGTTACAACTCCAGAAGAAATTGCACAGGTAAGAAAAAACACACAATAAAATGTAACCCAAATTTAGGCAGCTGTTACTCAGAAAAAGTTTTGTGAGGTCAGGTTTAATGAAGTTAGGTTGTGTGCCTCTGATACTGAGTACTTCTCTTTGTACATCAAAAACCGTCTTCAATTGCACTGCTAAAAGCTAGTTCAGAAGTGGAGAGATGTCTTTGTCTTCAAGTTTCATTCCAAAGTGTGGTCTTAAAACATAAATGTGTGTACTTGGGAAGAACTGATGGGAGCAAAGCTCTGTTGTGAATGGAAGTGATGGCAGAGTACTGAGGTGTGGCAGATCAGGTTCAGTCAGGTGTATTGGTGGTCCTGGGTTATTGTCCCTGTGACTGGAGATGGCCTGGGTGTGAGCCCAGTGCAGGGAATCAGGCTCTGTGCTACAGCTGCCTGAGAGTCTGAGCCCTTCTAACAGAGTTCCTGGCTCCTGCTGTGAGTGTGCTGCAGTCAGCTGCTCTGCTTTGTCAAAAATGTGAGCATTGTAAATGGTTATTCTGATTTTTTTTTTTTTTTATTGTGAGGAGACATCTTGCATTGGGAAGTAAGATTAATTGTCTTACTCTTTCAGGTTGCCACAATATCAGCAAATGGAGATCAGGAAATTGGCAATATAATCTCTGATGCAATGAAAAAAGTTGGACGAAAGGGTGTGATCACTGTCAAGGTAAGAACTGGCCAACACACAAAGTGCCAAGTCACTGTCTCTTCTCCTGTTAGGGCTGGCTTTTTTTATCATGTGTGATGCTGCTGCTGTAGCTCACATTCCATAATTTCCTCCCCAGCTCCTTTAGTTCAGTTGGATCACTGTTCCCTCTTTTATTCCTTGTTTTGGAGAGAAGGATGTGCAACTGATGTGGGATGCAGAGCCTTTCAATCTGTTGTGCATTATATACTAAAACTGTACTTGTGCTTTTGGTAGTAAATAGGGAAGATTTTAATGCATACTTTCTTGCATCTAAACAGGATGGAAAAACTCTAAATGATGAACTGGAAATCATTGAGGGTATGAAATTTGACAGAGGCTACATCTCTCCATATTTTATTAACACAACTAAAGGTGAGTTAACAATAAGCCACATCAAACACTTCGCAGCAGACTGTGTGAAATAATGGCCCCTGTTAAAGGCTTTACAGTCCCTTATGCTGTGCACCACAGCAAATAGAGCAAGGAATCCTTCCCCATCAGAAAACTTGGTAAAAGCTTGGAGTTTTAGGGCTTCTTTTTCTATGCAAAGAGTTCCTGTGAACATCAGGCTAGCCTTGCAACACAGCAGAACAATGTAGAATTGAGAGTGAAGTCTTGAGGAAAACAAGTTGTCTTTTTGTTTTTAAATGCATTTAGAAAGTGCAGCCATTGCTCCAGAGCAGCTGCTTAAGGTAAAAGAATGCTTGATATGTTTTTGTAATGGAATTGTTCAGATAATGCATGTTGTTTCTGCAGGGCAGAAATGTGAATTCCAGGATGCTTATGTTTTAATCAGTGAAAAGAAAATATCTAGTGTACAGTCCATAGTTCCAGCTCTTGAAATTGCCAATGCCAACCGCAAACCCTTGGTCATCATTGCAGAAGATGTTGATGGAGAGGCCCTCAGCACTCTTGTCTTGAACAGGTGAGGCTTAAAATCTGTTTTTTTCCATGGTGTAAAGCTGTTAGTTCTCTTTCTGTGCCAAAGAAACAGCAGCTTCTAGCATCACCATGCTTTGTATCAACTTGGACAGAACTTTACTAGTGTCCTAACTGCCCTTTTGAGAAAAAAAGCATCAGTTTGTGATGGTTTCTTTGTTTGCTTGGCTGTTACAGCTGCACTGTAATAATTTGGCTTAGTAATTAGATTCGTTCTCTGAATTTTTCTCGTTAGATTGAAGGTTGGCCTTCAGGTTGTTGCTGTAAAAGCACCGGGTTTTGGTGACAACAGGAAAAACCAACTTAAGGACATGGCGATTGCTACTGGTGGTGCTGTAAGTAACAATGTTTGAAGTGGCTTTTTGCTCCAAGGAATGTTAGTGCTTTTTAAGGAGAAAAACACTGTGCATTTTTAGGTCCTTGGCTTGTATTTGCTGGGCTGCAAGCTGTGTTCTGTTTTTTCAAAAATGTAACGCTAACTGATGTTTGAATATTGCTGTTGTTTTGAAATGCAGACACTGATAACTGCTGTGTAATACAATCCTGGCCAACCATAAGTGATGTGTCCTTGTAACTGACTGAAGTCACACAAGATTTCCTTGCAGAATTTAGGTTCAACAGGTTTTTAGGGGAAAGGAGGAACTCCAAGGCAATTGTTGCCTTTATAAAACTGACTGTTTCAAAATTGCCTGAACTCGGATGTGGAAAATATAGTTATTTAAAATGTTTGGAATGGACTGAGTGAATTTTCTTACTACTAAACTTCGCATATAGTTGATGTACTGCTTAATGTCCCTTTATGCTCCCCTTTTTTTAATATGCACTTGAAAATCATAGCATGATATTGGGACCCAGAGGAGGCCCATGAACATGAAATAAAACTTCATGTTTAAGGTAATGGCAGCGCAAAGTAACAAACCAGTAAACTGTTCCAAAGTCAGTGATGTGTCAGTATCTGTAACTTACCAAAATGCAAGATGATCAGTGACAGGACCTAAGGAAACACCATGAAACTGTGTCAGGGGAGGTTTAGGTTGGATATTGGGAAGAAGTTCTTCACCCAGATGGTGGAACTGCAGTAAAGTGGTTATTTTGCACCATTAGCCTGCTGTGTTTGTGTACTTGTAGATAGAAAACACCTATGTTTGATGTGTGGGGAACCTGTCAATTCCAGCTTTTCACATAATTTCTTCCAGGTGTTCGGAGAAGAGGGTTTGAACCTAAATGTGGAAGATATTCAGCCGCATGACTTTGGTAAAGTTGGAGAGGTCATTGTGACAAAAGATGACACCATGCTCCTTAAGGGGAAGGGTGAAAAGACTCAGATTGAAAAACGCATTCAAGAAATAATCGAGCAGCTAGAGGTTACCACCAGTGAATATGAAAAAGAGAAACTGAATGAGCGATTGGCCAAACTCTCTGATGGAGTAGCAGTATTGAAGGTATTAAGAACTTGATGAAATGATGAACTAAGGCTTAGGCTTCTTGAGTGCTGAGGTACAGAAGACTGCCAGTATGGGAGAGGGTGGGATGGATTTCTGGCACTTCTTAGGCATTGGCTGCTTAGTTTGGTGGCAGCAGTGCTGTCCCAGCTGGGCTCCTGGTGCGGACCTTGACGTGTGGCTTGTTGCTCGCAGGTGGGTGGCACCAGTGATGTTGAGGTGAACGAGAAGAAGGACAGGGTCACCGATGCCCTGAATGCCACCCGTGCGGCCGTGGAGGAAGGCATCGTCCCAGGTGGTGGCTGTGCACTGCTGCGCTGCATCCCAGCCTTAGATGCCTTAACTCCAGCCAACGAGGATCAGAAAATCGGTAAGTAAATTACTTGAAGATGTGTGTGGGAGTGATGCAAGCTGGCTTTCTCCTGTCCTGAGGCTTTATCAGATGAAATGCAGATTGCTTTCAGTGAGTTTTTAGTTCATTGTTCTCAGAAACTTCACATTTCTTTGGTGTGGTGGTCTCTGCTTTTGAGTGGGAAGGAGCTTTTTCACAGTATCGCTGACTGAACTGTCAAGACCCAGTAGCAGTAAAGCAGCAGTATCCCAGCAGAAAGTGGCAACACTTCAGGTTGAGAGCTGGCTGTTAAAAGTCATTACAGACAGACAAAATCTAATAATGCTCAAGAGACTGTGTGAATCAAATGGAAAAAGGCTTTGTGTCATGTTACATAATAATACTCCTTACTACTTTTTGTAGAAGTAAAACCAAAATGTGCATAAATATCCTGCAGAGATTTCATTTGTTGGCAAGTGTCAAGTAGCAGAGAACCTTCCCTCCTGGAGCTTATAAAAATAGCTTATGTTCTTGCTTGGAGGGTTTTCTCTTTGTATTGATCTCCAGCACAAGAGCATTCCTTGGCAGTGGGAGTGGGTGTTGGTACATGGAGTTCCAACTATCCTGTTTTTTGCAGGCATTGAAATAATCAAGAGAACACTGAGAATCCCAGCAATGACTATTGCAAAGAATGCTGGTGTTGAAGGATCATTGATAGTTGAAAAAATCCTGCAGAGCCCATCAGAAGTTGGCTACGATGCAATGCTTGGGGACTTTGTAAACATGGTAGAAAAAGGAATCATAGACCCAACGAAGGTAACCTAAAAGTCTTAATTCTCAGCTTTGCTTCCTCCCACCTCCTGCGATAGTCAGCAGGTTTTAAGTTGATTCTTGCCTATTTTTAGGTTGTGAGAACTGCTCTGATGGACGCTGCAGGTGTTGCATCTCTCCTATCAACAGCAGAAGCAGTGGTGACTGAAGTTCCTAAAGAAGAGAAGGAGCCGGCAATGGGAGGAATGGGTGGAATGGGTGGAGGAATGGGAGGTGGCATGTTCTAATTCCTGGGGCAGGGATGCATCATGAGCTGTGCTGTTGAAAAGACTGACAGTTCTGACTTCTAAAACTTGAGCTATCAGTGTGAGAGGATGGATAGTGACTGAAGTGAGGCTGGTGTTGAAAAGAATCACTGTAACCATCAGTTACCGGATTTCATTTAACACACGTGTAATTGTTTACAGTCATTGTCCATGCCTACAGATAATTTATTTTGTATTTTTTGAATAAAGACATTTGTACATTCCTGATAACTGGGTGCAAGATCCATCTACCAAGCTCCCAATTTGAACTTAATTAAGGCACTTGATGTTCTATTTCAGAATTTCTTGGTGCTTGCCAGTACTAGGAAGAACTTGGAAGCCACTGTGCGTGAGACTAGACAATTGTGTACAAAGTAGGCAAATAGAGTTATGTGACCTTTATGTAATAAACTGCTCAAAAGTTACAAAATGTATCACCTCCTTCATCTGCACACAAAGCCATAGTTACGGGATAGACTGGACAGCCTGCTGCTGCTTCTAAGAGTTAGTAGAAATTGACACTTATGCTTGAAAAAATGACAGGGCATTTCACTCCGAGAAACATTCCTTTGTCTAGAATGTTTCTCAGAAATGCAAGTGCTTTAATTTTGGTAAGAAATATCTAAGCTGAACTGCACTACAGTTCTTTGAAATATTAAACAATGCTCTGAAAACAAGGCACGTGCCCTGACTTTATTTTTCCCTGTCTGATTGTTTCACGTGCTGGAACAGGCCCAGTGTACCTTTCACAGTCCTGGGGGAAGGGAAGTGCCCTGAGGGTATCAGACAGGTAAATCTTTGCTAAGAAAGGGTTCTGGGGTTTTTAAATAGTTCCTTTGCTCAGGCATAGTATGTGGTTACCTCCTCATCTTGAGCCTTCTATTCTTCTTCCTTTCTGGTCAGGGGTGCAGGATTTAGTTACTTTGCACTAGAAATGTTGTTCTACTCCTTTCTGTGTTCTTTGACCTGACAGAGCCACTAACATTGTGTAGTCTTTTCTGCTTTCCAGCCTGCGAAACAATGGTGTTCCCAAACTTGTGTATGTTTATTTCTGATTTCCTCAACAATCAAAATTGCTTTACAACTTCTCAGTTATATAAAAATTACTTTAATCCAGCTGTTGCTTTCCCCAGCTTCCTGCCCTTAATAAGAACTATACTTAAACAGATGGGATTTGTGACATTCTAATTTTAAGTAAAATGGTCTGAAACTGTTTTCAGGGCTGTGTTTATTTTGAAATATACCTTTCTATCTTATTTAATATGCTGTCCTGTAGTAACCATATGGATTACTTATGCTGCAGAGAAAGCACCAGCTTCAGCACTTGGCCTGACACTTCACCTACTTTCAGTAAGGAAATTTGGTAATGCAAGGCAGCATAAAGTGAAAATTTAGACTGTTCAAACCTATTCTCTTGGTTTCTTCAGAGAAGAGAATATTTAAAGAATAGAAGTACTGAACGTGTATCTAATCAGGATGGCATTATCACAGTTGGGAATATGGTACTGAAAAACCTCAAAGCATGAAGGTTTATTGCTCTCTTGTATAATTTATAATGACAGGTGGCCTTGGCTGTGCTTGTCTGCAGGAAGCAGAGTGTCTTGTTCCCTGCTTCTAGGGGAGACAGCACTGGTACCTGGCTCTCAGAGGTAACTTGTTTTAAAGTGTTCTGTTTGCATTAGTGAGATGGAAGTAACTAAAGTGCAATGTGTAACAGGGACGGAGTGGCAAGGAGCAAGTTCAGTCTGCCAAATTTACTACAAATTCTGGACAGCTCCACTGGGAACCACTGGCTATAGCTGAGACTGCTGCACTCAGATTACTTATGTGTTTCAGCTCTGAAAACGAGGGGAGTTCTAGAGCAGTTGATGGTCACTCCAAGACTACCTGGAGATCCCTGACTAACCTTTTCCACTCATTTGGATTAAAGCACCACTCCTCAATGGTTGCTAAACTGCCACTCTCTGGGAAGCCAGTGTGTCAGTTGGCCTCTGCTTAGGCAGAGCTGGCTGAGTTGATGCTGTGAAGTTAGGTTCCCACAAAGCTGAGTTAATATGTTACAGTGCTGAAAAACCCCAGGAGCTTGGCTAAGGCAGAGCTTGGACTGTGATTGCAGGAGCCGTTTGGCGTTAAACGGCAGCCTGAGATAGCCTGGCTTACAGCAGCTGCCAGGTGTCTGTTACTGATAAGGCTTTAAGCTGCACTGGATTGCAGCTTTTGAACGTTCTGTATCTGTCTGGCTGAACAGGTGTGTTTGGCACAGTGTAAGATCACACCCACAGCTCAGGTAAGGAATAGATGCCCCAAAGGAGGAGCATGGCACTTTGTACAAGTGAAGTGTACAAACAAGTTTATAGGGAAGGTTGTTACAGTTTCCCTTTATGTCTGATGAACTTCATGCAGCATCAGCTCCCGAGGGATGCTGGTTTCTGGCCCGTGGAGTTTGGATGCTCTTCTTTCAAAGGCAGCAACCATCTGTTTTACAACTTCATCAAAAAACAGTGTAGCAAGTTTTGAGTGTAGAAGTGAACGAAATTCAAAAGAAATCTGTTTAAGAAAGTAAAAGAGAATTATTTTTCCTATATATACTGTTTTAAAATGCCGATACAAATAGACAAGTCTATTAAAGAATCTCCAGTGAAGGCTGCAGGTAAGCTGTAGAACAGTTAAAACTGAGGAATAGGTGAATGTGGCTGACAAGGAAACCCATGTTCCTTGGTCTGAGGGCTGTACCCCATGGCTTTTCCTCTCATTCAGTTCTCTGAAGCAGTCATTTACATTTACCTAAACTGTCTTTTCTTTAATAAGTAATTCATTAGAAAGGAGGTTTGGGGTAATGAAAAACTACTGACAAACAGTAACTTATTTTGTGCACAGAATGCACTTGGGGGACAAAAGTCTGAAGAAAACCTTGCATGGCAAGACAGCAGACTAACACATAAGCTGGAGCATGTCCAAGAGACTTAAAAGCGGCTTGAAATAGTTACCTATTAAATGCCAATATTTTAAATCAGTCTTTCCTTGTTGGTGGCAGTAGTTATGGTAGATTCAAACAAGCAGTTTAATGACTAAAACTAGATTTGGTTTGTGTGTCACATCTCCCACCTGAACATCTCCCACTCCTGACCTGACACCAGCAGTCAATGAAATGGATTGTGAATTAACTAATTTTTGTCATTCCTGAAAAATCAGCAGATTTAATGACACAAGGAGCAAATACAGTCAATCTCTATCAATTATCCTCAATTCCTTATGAGCAATGCATACTAACTGGAAAGCAGTAGCACAGAAGTAATTAAATTGTTTGGCCCATAAGCCAAGTGTAGCTTAATTTACATTTGCTTAACCTCAAGCATCAGTAAAATTAATGTGCCTCTTGCAAGTCTGAGAGCTGTCATTTAGGGCATGCAGATTTCTGCAGAGTGGGGATAATGAGTTTGCCATCATGTTCAGCAGTTATGTCAGTCTTGAGGTACAGTATACATTAATGAAATTTGCAGGCGGTAAAAATGGTGGTGTGCTTCAGTCTGTGAACCAAATCATTTCAGAGCTGAAGCCAAAGTAGGAAAGTTCCCTGCTGTATGTGGATGTCTCATGAAATCAGGCTGGCACAACAGGATAGAGCAGCTTGTGGGAACCAGCATAGACCAAAATTCAAATAACATTTTGTAAAGCAAACAAGCATTCTTGAAATCAAAGTTTTCTCTTGGCTATCTGTAATTGCACAGCCTGTTTTGAGGAGTTTGTTGTGAAATGCTTATCATCCCTGCCTTCAAGTGTCCAGAGGCAAGGAGCAGCAGGGCAGAAACTGGCAGGGGTTAAGCTCAGCCAGCTGCATGGACTTCTGCTGCTTCAAAAGAGGGTAAGCAGTAAGGTGTGTTGATAGTGTTCCCTGAAGAAAATGAAAATGTCCATATCCAGTTCAGTCTTGATTCCCTTTAACAGAAGTTCTTGACTTGAAAAGTCAAAATGTGGCTTTGGCTTGTGGAGGTGTGGTGCTGTTTTCTCAGAGCCTGTACTTAGATTGTAGGGTATAAATAGTTGTTTAATTCAAGTTTTTTAACTGATTTATGGCTTGGGTTAAAAGATAGCTTATATATGTTCATAGAAAGAACTGACACTTACTTGCCTAAAGGAATACAAATAACATGAGCATGTAACATGGAAACCTTAAAAAAATGTGCTTCTTTGAGTGTCTGTAGATTAATTTTTGCTGTTGGACTGTATAAAGTACAATACAGTGATAAGCTGAAAGCTGATAACCCAAGAAGGTTAATGTGCTAGTTAAAAAATACTACAAAAGCTTTTTTCTATTTACTGAAGATAATTTTCAAAGCAGAGTATTCCAGCAGATGGCAGCAGGATTAGCCCATCGCTGTGTACTTTTGCAGCCTGTTACCTTTGCAGCCTATTGCTCAATGCAACACCTACACTTCGTGATGTGTAAATGTGATGGCAGACAAAACAGACAACATGGAAAAGCAGTAACTCGAATGGAAACAGCTTTTCTGGGAATGAGATCAGGCTAAATCAGGTACTGGATGTAAAGAGCAATAGTTTTGGGCTGCAGTGATATCCCATCACAGATTAGCAACAGCAAAAATCTGTTAGACTTGTATTAGAGAAGGCTTAAAATACATGAAAGAGTAAAACTGGAAGACAGGAAATTAAACTGACCAAACTGCAGCCCAAACAGGACAGATGGCAGAACACTTTCTGGTACCAAGAGCATTTAGGTTGTAGAGTAATTAAAGAAAATAGCAAAGTATATTTAGCATTTCTTCTGCATTTGATTGTCTAAAAAATTCAGTGTGTTTAGAACTGTAGGGTGTGAGGTGCCTGTCCTAGACTGTTTCATGATACATGGACACCTCAGAGAAGGCTGCTGTCTCTGAAGGATATTGAAGTGGTTTCCAGCAGTAAAGTTTACAAAATATGTTTTGGACAGATTTGACTAAAGCTAACTTGTTTTCTGTGTATATGTGCTTAAAGAAATAGTACAGGCATTTAAAACAGCCCTCTCAGTTCAAGTGTTCCTATGTGCTGCTCCTAGCATGTGGTAGTTGTAATTACCATACTTACTGAAAAATCCAATGTACACGTCCTTGGATAACCAGGGATACCAGGGCTCAAACGCCACACTGTTTCCAAGTGATTAAAAAGTTTTCCATCTGTGCATGATGCCTGAAAAAAGGTTTCAAAAATCAAGCTACAATTAGACTTTTACAAATGTGACAAACAGGTATCACTGAAGCTTGTGTTTGCATTTTGTTAAATAGGCATGTTCATGGCATAGTTAAAACTGTTCTTACAGCATAGCCAGCATGAGATCCTGTATGCACAGTTGTCAATTATGGAAAAATAACTGAAGTCCTTCCAAGGCAGAGGAAAAAATTGTGTGTTGAGTGTCATAAAACAGATCTGTGGCATGATGCATAGAACTTCCAAATACGTAACCTCAACTGGCTTGGAATTTGTAGAGAAAATGTCTGTAACTTTTTTTGGCTCTTTTTTTTACAAGTTCTTCTTGTTACCCCAAGGAGCTCTGCTCCAACAGACTGCCCCCAGGGAATAGGTGTTGCTTGGGTTGGAAAGCTATGGTAAGGTGACTCATCTCAAAGACTAATCACCAGCACAAAAACATCTACATTTCTCTTTCCAGGAATGAGATAATGCATGATCTTGCTACTTCTACATCAGAAAGGGAAGGAGTAGAGGGAAGATTAGATACAAAGAGCTGGGCCTGCTTTTCCCTACTGCTGTCAAAAGAGTAGGAAAAATGGGAAAACTGTCACGGTGTCCCCCTTTCTCCCAGTCTTAAAGTAGCAAATTTTAACTAAAGTAGCTTTCCCCATCAGCAAAAACTGCTGTTACCAATCTGATTTTTCCATTCTTTAAGCCCTAAAATTGGGAAAACTTTAAGCAACAAACCCATTCCCATTTTGTGCCTGAGCGCCACACAAGGTTCCTTTGCCTGGAGTTGAGAGAACAGCGAAATAGTCCAAGCACACAATCAGTTCCCTAGAAATATTCCTGCAGTTCTGAGGATGCAATGTAAATGCTTAGGAAAAGTAGTTGCAGCAGAGAAGAGTCTCAGGGAAGGAATCTGAAGAAATGGCTTTTCTCACCACTTTTGTGGTTTTTTTTCCTGAGACAAGAATGCTTCTTTTGAGTGAATTAAGAGGGAAAAAGAGTTGGTAAGCCAATCTGATAG